GGTTTGACTGTGTAAGTTTGTAGCTTTTTCTTCATCGATCACTGTTACTCAACACTGATATTGTTCTCTTTTCTATGCAGGAAAGAACAACATATCATGAAAATGAAATCTGACAAGCTGTCCAGCAACAGGAGCAGCAATTTTTGGAGTTTGACTCATCATCACGTGACCTTCAAGAGTTGCAAAGGGAGGATCAGAAATAGAAGTGGTGACAGCAGGTGTTGATGAAGGAGCAGGAGGGCAAATGGGGCTTGCAAAAACTTCAGGGGCAGATGAGGGAGGATCAGAAATAAAAACAGAAGCTGGTGTTGATGATACAGGAATGGGAATCACAGGACTATGAGCAGAATCATCTACTGTGATGTCAACCTCTTAAGGGTGCTGTTGTTGATTCCAATTTCTGTATGAATGCATGATTGAAATGAAATCCTCCAGATGTGGTCGTTTGCTGATATTATTCATAGCTGTGAATTCAACTTCTTCAGGCCACCAAACTGATCTGCATGCTTCTTTCTCCCATCCAGGCACAGATCTCCCAACCTGAAAATACACCATGTATATTCTGCAAATCTACCAAAAAATTGACAGTGAGTGCTTAAATTTTTACGTTTAACAACCGCATTGCTATTCAATTTAGCACTTTAAAGAAACACAATTGTGGGTTGTAAGATTAGAATAGACAAATTGCATAGCCTTTTAAGTACATTACCCCCAAAACTGTTTGCATTTGTGAAAAACAAACCGTTTATCCAGTTTTCTTTCTTAAATTTCTTTACGATCTTTTTTGACTGCCCTAACAACCATTTTCCTCAGATCTACCACTCTAAATTGCACAGGGTCTTCTGATGGTATAAATACCACGCGATCACGATTCTCTGGGAAAGTCTGATATGCTCATTGCAAGAAAATAAAAGAGCAATGGAAGAATGAATGCCAGCGCCGAGAAATATACTTGCTGCTTTTTACAAAATATAATAAAATCAGAACAATACCGCTTTTCTTCCCGCCATGATGAATGGGCCATTATAATATGTTGTGTATGTGTCATGAAGTGTACCAGCAGTGGTGGTAATTTTCGTGGTTGCGAGCAGAATCTGTGTTACAGAGTACCTCTGTCACAGTGATATGTGTACCCCCGTGATATGTGTACCCCCGCACACATATCACTAGTGATATGTGTACCCCCTCCAAGATGGCGGCCAGTGATATGTGTATCCCCCACCCCCCTCCCCTCAAAAAAATAAATAATTACGGCTAACTTGTGTTAATGGACGCAAATCGTTCACTGAACCATCTTCCACAATCAGAACTGTAAAGACACGACTCGCGAGTCCGACAGTTCTTATGGGCCAGTAGCAAACATCAAACAATCTATTGGAAATATAAAGGAATCGAAATTGTCATTTAAACAAAAATATATCTTAGGGATTCACATATCACTGGTGACTACAATCGTATCGGCTTTGTCGCCTGTCTAGCACTGAAATTACTTGCTACTAGCTCCTTTACTGGCTAGTACGTAAGTGCATGAAATATTTCACCAACTGACAGCAATTTTTATTGATTCCCAATCATATGTGTCATTGACAAATTTAAAAAGTACACAGACGACATCGTACTAGCCAGGGGATACGTATATCACTGAGATCTCTCGTTCAGTGATATGTGTATCCTCAACATATCTCGGGGTTACGCATATCGCGGAAATCGTAGTAAGTGATATGTGTATCCCTTGGTAAAGCAAGCGCTGTTGTCTTTCTAGCAAATTACTAGCTAACTTATATATGGCTAGTAAGTGTATCATTGATTCCAAATTGACAGACGACAGCGAGTCAGGGGATACACATATCACTGCGATCGCCGTTCAGTGATATGTGTATCCCCAATACATCTTGGGGATACAATGTGGATACGCATATCGCGGCAATCGCAGTCAATATGTGTATCCCTTGGTAAAGCAAGCGCTTTTGTCTGTCCAGCAAATTACTAGCTAAGCTTATATATGGCTAGTAAGTGTATTATTGATTCCAAATTGACAGACGACAGCGAGTTAGTCAGGGGATACACATATCACTGCGATCGCCGTTCAGTGATATGTGTATCCCCAATACATCTTGGGGATACAATGTGGATACGCATATCGCGGCAATCGCTGTCAATATGTGTATCCCATGGTAAAGCAAGCGCTTTTGTCTGTCCAGCAAATTACTACCTAAGCTTATATATGGCTAGTAAGTGTATTATTGATTCCAAATTGACAGACGACAGCGAGTTACTCGGGGGATAGACATATCACTGCGATCGCCGTTCAGTGATATGTGTATCCCCATTATATCTTGTGGATACACTTTGGATACACATATCACGGCAATCGTAGTTAGTATTTGTATCCCCTTACTAAAGCAAGCGTTTTTATCTGTCCAGCAAAATACTGGCTAAGTATGGCTTGTAAGTGTATTATTGAGTCAAAATTAACAGAAGTGTGATCTAAAATCACTGCGATCGCTTTTCTGTGATACGTGTATCCCCTGATGTTTATTGATATATATCACTGGACGGTGATTCAGTAGTGATGTGTGTATCCTGGCCTCTCTAGCCCAGTGCAATTTCTAATCAATAAAATATTTCAAAATCGCACTCATAGGCACAGTGGGAAGCAAACGTTTGTGATATGTTGGGATACACATATCAGTGAACGTTGATCGCAGTAAAATTGGTATCCCTGGCCTGTAAGCGCTTTTGTTTGGCTAGACACTTTACCAAAAACAATTTCTAATCAATATTTCAATTCCGCACCCATGGGCGCATATTTATAGAACCAGGAACCCTTTCTTAAATACAACAAATTATTCCATTAGGCGTAGATGCTACGTTGATTTAACTGTTCTCACGCAACGCTTCTACCCACCGGAAATTCCTCTATTAAACAATGCCCAAATTAGGAAGTTGGACCTTGTATACTTATGACCTTTCTTTCGCGGGAAATTCGCATCTTACGAGAATTATTAAGATGGATGCCACAAAATATTCAAATCTGGTTCATTATTTGAGAGATAAAGAGTATCCAGAGGGCGCAAGCAAGCGTGAAAAAGGAGTGTTACGGAGACTTTCGAAACAGTTCACGTTTGATGTACAATCAGGCTCGCTTTTCTACGTCGACCGTGGTAACGATGGATTAACCTTTAACCGCATGGTCATTCAAGAGGAGGAAAAGACAAGAGTTTTCGACGAGTGTCACTCTTCACCTTTTGCGGGCCACGCTGGGCGGGACAACACCATACAAAAAATTAAGGAGCGCTACTACTGGCCCTCTTACTACAAGGATACTGTTGAATTGGTAAGTTTAATAAAATGTATAGACGTAGAGGCATTGGTGTTGAATAACATTTGATACCATCACGGTCTGTCACAATTCATGCATCTTAACACTAGCGTTTCAGTGGCAATTATTTAAAAAAAAGAGGCCTGAAAAGTCGCGGTTTTGCAAAAAGCGGGCTCAAGTAAAGAGCATGATTCTTTCAGCGAGATCAGCCATGTGAAATAGTCAGTCAAATTTGTGAATTCTGTAGTTCCCAGTACTTGTGAGACACAGCCATATAATAAAAGGCATTTAACAACAATAATGGTAAAATATTTATAAAACAATGAATTTTCTTTACTTCCAATAGATGTTGTAATAAAAGAATCATAGGCTTCTCTATGTTCTCTCAATGCTTCTCTAAGTGTGGCCTTCTCTTACACAAACAGATTCGAAATTGTGACCGGTGTCAACGTAATACCAGTGAAAGCAAAAGTTACGACGTGCTGCATCCCGTGAAGGTGGTTTCTAAAGTTTGGTACCTAGTCGGTATTGATTTAATAGATGCCGGCAAAGTTTCTGCCCAAGGAAACCGCTATCTTCTGACAATGACGGATTACTTTAGCAAGTATGTAGAGGCAATTCCTCTGCCAGACAAGAGTGCCGTAAGCGTAGCAAAGGGCCTTTACAAAGCATATTGTCGCCATGGAGCCCCTGCTCACATCATTTCAGACCAGGGTAGAGAATTCGTTAACCAGGTAGGTCAGCGTTTTATACAACGGAAACCTTTGACAGACATCTGTGTAGGGGCTTGCATGACGTTGCTTCATTGTCTCTGTTGCAGGTGTGCGAGCGCTTCATGACAACATTTGGTGTCCACCAGAGGATCGCGTCAGCATATCATCCGGAGTCTAATGGCCTAGATGAGAGATCAAACCAGTCAATAAAGAAGTGAGCGTTGCAATCATTTTCTGTCTAAAAATAACTCTTAACTCCTATCAGTGAGATGAAAGAGGGCATGACATGCTACCTAAAATATCATTAAGCTAAGCTAGTGCTTTCAAAGTTTATTTCCATTCGGTAATGGCTTGGGATTCCAGTGTTAAAACTACGGACTGAAGCGAATGCAAAGATGTTAAATATTACATATTATCAGAATTACAAGAGCAGGTAATACATCATCTAATTACTACCTACCTAATGTTCTTATTCCAGTTCGTATAAAATGGTTGGTGCCAATCATTTTCCACGAACTGGAATAAGAACATTCTACCGACAACAATCATTCACTTGACTCTGATGATGACTTCCGCACAGGTTGTCGAAACGTCAGTCACTACCAACGACAACAGTCCTTCTCAGGACCACACTCACCCGGACGATCAGCCTCCACTTTCACATGTTACCCCTGGGTTCAAGCCATTTACTGCACTTGTCACTTTTGTTTAGTACCCTTAGGAAGATTGCGGATGACCACGATCAGGATTGGGACGAGTACACGGATGGTGCTCTTTTTGCAATTAACACCAACAGATCAAACACCACCAAGTTCAGCCCATTCTATTTAATGTATGGTAGGCATCCACGTTTGCCTCTTGAAGTCCAAAAGTATGTAAAGCACGTCGATAACGACCCCAGCGAAATTGAAAAACTGGCAAGGGAATTAAACTCAGAGGATGTCCTCCAGGAGCATGTGCAACAAATGACAGCCACAAGAGATGCACTTTTCCCAAGAGTGCAGGGAAACATAGAAGCTGCACAAGAAAAGCAAAAGAAGCAGTTCTTAAAAAGAAAAGGAGGCTTCGACTGCACATTGAAGAAGGGTGATGCTGTTCTACGCCGCAATATGCTCCAAAAGACAAAAAAGGGGCACAAAATGGAAGACCAGTGGACTGGCCCATACACCATAGAAGAGGTTGACTTACAAAAGGGAACCTGCAGGTTACGTGGAAAAAGTGGCGAGAAACTAAGAAGGATAGTGAACATGAAAGACCTCAAAGCGTACAGGGTTCAATCCACAGCTCAGCAGACAGCACAACCACCATTGCAGCATCCTCACTGTTCTTCTCAGCATTCAGCGACAGCACTCCAACATCAACAACAGGCGCCATCGCAGCAGCCAGTACCATCTATGCAGCCTGCAACACCATTGCAGCAGCCAAAACAATCCCAGCAGCTATCGCCAACCAAAACGGCCACAATACAGCAGTTAATGTCATCCCAACAAGCACCATCCAAGCAGCCTACACCACACCAACAGCCAGCACCACACCACCGGCCAACACCAATGCCACGGACAAAGGTTCCCCAACCAAAAGTACCACCCAATCAGCCAACACCAATGCCGCGGTCGAAGTGCCCCAAACTTCAAGCACCTTCCAAGCAGCCAAAAGAACATCACCAGCCAGCACCTTCTAGCCAGCCAACACAACCAAATCAACCTACACCTTCCAGCCAGCCAACATCACCTAATCAGCTAGCACCTTCCAGCCAGCCAACATCACCTAATCAGCTAGCACCTTCCAGCCAGCCAACATCACCTAATCAGCTAGCACCTTCCAGCCAGCCAACATCACCTAATCAGCTAGCACCTTCCAGCCAGCCAACATCACCTAATCAGCCAGCACCTTCCAAACAGCAAACATCACCTCATCAGCCAGCACCTTTAAACCAGCAAAAATCACTTAATCAGCTAGCACCTTCCAAACAGCAAACATCACCTCATCAGCCAGCACCTTTAAACCAGCAAAAATCACCTAATCAGCTAGCACCTTCCAGCCAGCCAACATCACTTAATCAGCCAGCACCTTCCAAACAGCAAACATCACTTAATCAGCTAGCACCTTCCAAACAGCAAACATCACTTGATCAGCCAGCACCTTCCAAACAGCAAACATCACTTAATCAGCCAGCACCTTCCAAACAACAAACATCACTTAATCAGCCAGCACCTTCCAAACAGCAAACATCACTTAATCAGCAAGCACCTTCCAGGCAGCCAAAACCACCTAATCTGCCAGGGGCTCAGCAACCGGCAAAATACCAGCCCTTTGAACCAAACAAAAAAATACAGAACATTTCAAAGAAGGACATTGCTTCCTGCTTTGACAAAGTAATCAAAGATCACCTTTCAGAAGTACTCAGTGGCACCAAGGAAAGCTGGCGACATGAAATTTTCCATGGAAGAATATTATCAGACAGGGATAAAGAGATGATCGAAAGGGTAGATCTCAAGTTCAATGTGCCATTTGGGGACTTTGAGGAAAATCAAACATATCACATGGTAACTCTAATAGCAAAGCACTTCCCAAAGGTCAGTCAAAAGTACTTAATGGAGGTACTTTTACCAGAGGCTCTAATTACCCTATGTTGTCAGCAATTACAAATTACACGCAACCAGGCTGAGGATCTCCTAGAAAGTGGTGGAAAGCATGAGGCAGATGCATTCCTGCAAAAAATAGAACAAAGAAGTAAAGGAAAGTTCTTGAAAAAGAAAAAAGCCCCGAAAAGAAAATTATGTGGTAATTCTGCATCAGTGTTCTTTTTTTATGTTGTGTCACCATTTTGTTGATTCTTTTTACTCGTATTAACAAAGAAGCAATGGATTTTTTTAGCGAGCTTTGGAATAACCTATAAATTAAGTGATCAATTATGGCATAAAATAGGGCTTTTTAATGCATTTGACTCCTGTTCTGTACAAACTGTGTAAGTGGTCTCCTTGCAATTCCCTGTGGGTGACTGCTCTTGTAGCTTTCTCTTCATCAATCACTGTTACTCAACACTGATACTGTTCTCTTTTCTATGTAGGAAAGAACAACATATCACAAAAATGAAATCCAACAAGCTGTCCAGCAACTGGAGCAGCAGTTTTTGGAGTTGACTCATCACCAGAAAACTTATCAGCAGAAAATTTAGCCACAATTGTGGCTAATGTTATTGCTAAAAAGGCTGCTGTGACAAGTGCCACTATCAGTTATAAAATGAAAGAAATACACGATTCTTCAAAATTCAAGTACAAATGGGTCAATGTTAGTCTAGAGAATGATGAAGGAGTAAAAAATCTGCAGCTTCCAGTCATCGTTCCAAAGGAAATTCTGGAAAGTAGTGATCTTGTTGCACAAGTATACTTTTCATTTGTAAATGTACTTCAATGGTATAATTTTTTAACATTCAGACAAGTTATTTTAGGGAGTATTTCCCATCATTATTTATCACTGTATTGACATTGTGAGCTAATTACATGTAGCTTTATGGACTCAAAGTTGATTTTTCTTCTTTTTAAACTTATAATTGCTAATACTGTAAATTTCCGATTAACCTCCATCAAAACATCCACTTAATTTTTCTTTCCTTTTACTGAACATTAAATTGCTTGGTTGTTGATTCTTAGAAGAAAATGTGTATGTAAAGGCTCGGGAAATTTGTCCACTACAAATATAATTTTTGGCATCACCTGGCATTTCTAAACAAAAGAGATATTTCTCAAGCAGGTTTGAATTAGGTTTTCTGTGGAATTGAGTGGAAATTGGGTGTAGCCCTGCTCTGCATAGGTGTCTCTGTTGATGAGATTTTCACTCCCAAGATCTCAGTAGTAATTCTCTTTACTGTCTGCCATACAAGTTTTATGATGTTAGCTGAAAGAATTTGGTATTGGATCAACTAATATTGCCCTAATGGATGTTTTTTTTATTCTCATCACTTGTCTGCTTGATACTGTATTGATATTGTAAGGAGAAATTCTGTCTTTGTCAGTTATGAGAGTAAGAGGGTTTTAAAAGAGACTAAAAGATTTGTTCAATAAAAGTGTTTGGACACAAATTCTAATCACCTGCTTTTTCAAAAAAGTTTGTACAGATCAAAAGCATTCTTTCAAAATGTGGAAAGTTACATTTTAATTCTAAAAACCTGCAAAAATCATGGAATGTGAAGGTGTTGGAAAAAAAAAAAAAAAAAAACCAGAGGAAGTCTCCTTTGTCATGTTTTTTCATAGCTGCAACAAGTGGAAATCTTTGTGAGGTTTCCTTGCCTCCTCTTCCCATTCTTTTTGCCTGTGGGATTTATTTCTTATCTCTGATTTATTTTCTGTTATTTGTGTGTGCCGAGTTCCACTGATTTCATGAATCTTGCTTTAAAAAAGGTTAACAGGTGTCCTTAAACTGGCCAGGAACCTTCTCAAGGATATATGGTACATTGATTACATGTGACTACACTTCCTTAGATATTTTACTGTTGTTTCAAGGCATGGGTTGAAAGAAGGAGGGGAAAATCATTCAATTTGAGATAGGGTATGGGGTTTTTTTTAAGGGTTACCTCATACCCTCACCTTGAGGCAGTCTCTCTGGTAAATTGGTAAATCCGGACTGATATTGAAAAGACCACACCCCTTCACCATAGCTTTCAAGTTGTGTCTAACAATTGAGGCCAAATGTATCTCAACTCAAAGTTGAATTCCGTTTACAAAATTTATTGTACAGTCTTGACAAATTTGGAAGTCTGACTCCATTTGTTAACCCTCTAACTCCCAGATCAAATTTGTAATTCTCCTAAATGTCAACCATACAATTCCTATAATGTTAGTTGAGAGAAATTAGTATTGGATCAACTTATTATCCCCAAATTGATATTTTTCTTTATTCTCATCACTTATGTAGTGGACATTGTATTGATGTTGTAAGGAGAAAACCTGTCTTGGTCACTCATGGGGGTTAAAGGGTTAACAATAACTGGTAAGTTAAAATCTCAACTGGGTAAGTTAAAATCTCAACTGGGTAAGTCTGATGCTTCATCAGATTTTGAATGCAAACTGTACAACATTTATTATATTGAACAAGTAACAGGCCTTCTGTCTGAAAGCAAGATGATTTTATTTACAATTTGGTCTCATTTTTTTCAATATTTTGCCCAGAGTGTGAAACTACTTGAACCAGTTCGCTTTAATAAAAAAAAATGGCAGAGAACACGAGAAATGAAAAAAAATCAAAAAAAGAATTGTAGAAAACACAAGAAATGAAAGAGAGAAAACCTGGCATTCTACCAGGTAATCTGTAATGTATACATTCATCTAATCCGCTTAAAATCTCACACAAAACTCCAAGCGATCAAAACATACAGAAGCATGAAGAGAATTTAGGATCGAAACTAACCAATCATAAAATGAAAAAGTTTCCTGAGAGGTCCGAGGTTTGATTGTTTTCTCTGCGGGAAGCTTTGTGTTTTTTACTTCAATGTTATTGGTTTGTTTTTAAAAAAAAAAAGATTGACATCCTTTGTTCTCAATAAACATGTTCATTGGTTCATTTTTCTTCATTTCGATCCGGTTCAAATAATCTCGCTGCTCTGAGCACTTCACAGAGTAAGTTTGCTTTCATTCACGATTTGAGTTGTTGGGCTGTAATTATCACTGAGCTGGTTACCTCACAGTTATTTTGAATAGTAAGTGGTTCTAATAATTTCTTTTTAGTTTTTAATTGGAATTGCTGAGGCCTAAAAAATTAGCTGACACTTAGACTGACTATTGCTTAGTAAATTATGTGCCTTTTGCTTACCTGCTTCTGTGATGTTATTTGCTCTGAGGTTTAACATGCGTAGCTGACAGTTGTTGTTGTTGATGGCTTCAGCCAAGTGCTGTGCTCCAATGTCTGAGATTTTATTTGATGAGAGGAATAACATGCGTAGCTGACAGTTGTTGTTGTTGATGGCTTCAGCTAAATACTTTGTTGCTTCATCTTTCAATTGATTTTGTGTGAGGTATAACCAGCTCAGTTGAGATTCTCTACATTTTAACAATTTACAAATCTCCAAACAACCTAATGGACCAATGTTATTGCCACTCAAATCTAAATGTGAAATTTGTTGAAGATTAATTACATTTACTAACGAAGAGCAATCAACAGCTGTGAGGTGACAATAAAAAAAATTTACACAATTAAAGTTAATTTGTTGAAGTTTTCTCTGTGCCTCTGACTTCATTCTACTATTTTCGTTTAAACATTTCATTAATGTCACTGCTAAATATCGTTCGTCATAAGTCGGCCAGCAGGTCAATTTCGTTTTCTCTTCATTCTCTGTCCACTTTACGTTGAAGTATACGTCTTCTTTTTCTTCAGTTTTCACAGGAAGAAGGTCTGTGATAATTTCGCTCGGTAGGGTTTTTTTATTCTCCATTAATCCTGCTACAAACTGAAAAACCAGCTGCCATTTGCCTTCCTTAATGTTCTTAGAAACAAAGTTCCTTAGTTTTCTTTTACTCATGTTGTTAACAAGGTACTTCGCGGCGAAAAACTCCTGCATTGTTAGATGAATAAAACAGAACTGTTCTTCGCTTTTAAGCCAGTCAAGTTCACGGTCGGGTAAGCGGTGAAATAGAGCGCTGTCCTCCATTCCGCGTACTTCGTTTGCTCCAAAGATCAGTTTTCCTTCTTTTATTCCTTCAAATGCCAATTTTTCTAGTTTCTCCAATTTTTTTTCTTCTTCGCGGGGCAATTCATCTGATTTAAAGTCTTCGCAAGTGAAATGTTTATCGCGAAAGTCTTCGTTGTGTCTCAAGTAGAAAATTTTCACGGCTCTCTTGTAAATGGCTGTTAAACTTGTTGGTAGGTTAAGACCTTTAGAACCGTAGAACTTCACCATTTTAAAGAGACTTGAGCAAATGATGAAGCAACTTGCGGGAATATAACATAGAGATAAGATATTGATGTTGCTTTTGATGTGACGCTTTACTGTGTCGCCTGCTTCCTTGTCTTCTTCAGCAAATTTGGTTACGTATTCTTCGACTTGTTCGGGTGAGAAGCCAAGGATCTCGAACTTTTTGTCAAAAGGAATACTTTTGATGCATGACCAAGTTGTGGGTCTCGTAGTAGTTATGACGGCTGCTCTGTTAAGAAGTTTACCAGTCGTAAGTTTGGCATAAAGTGCGGGGAGGGGCATCTTCTCGTCTTCGCTGTTTCTAAATTGAAGTTCACTTTTTTCCGCGCTGATTTCAGCCTTAGATTTAAATTCATCGATTCCGTCGAAGATAAGGAGAACTTTCTGAGGGTTTTCTAGGATGTAATTCCAGACATCCTCATTCAACTCATTTCTGGGTGAGTATGTGGAGCGGGTCAGTAGCTCCCGAAGGCTAAGGCTAAGGTCGGTTGCAGCGTTGAATGTTCTGAATTTGACGAAGAAAGCAGCATCAAAGTGGATTTTGTCATCGGGTGTTTTATGGAATACTTTGTTAGATGCCCAGTCTCTGAGAATTTTTGTACAACAAAGTGTCTTTCCGATTCCGGGACGACCGAAGATCAAAATGTTTTTGTTTTCGTGACTAAGAATGTCCTCTGGCCCTCTCGGTGTTTCGTTTTTCTCACCCGACCTGGCGTAGATTTGCAAATTCTTCCGTCTGTCTTCAGTAAAGTCATAATGAGCCATGTCAGGTACAACAACAAGGTTTGTGTAAATCTGATCCAGAGTCAAATGTTTAGGTGCGTCCCCTCCAAGAGGACTTGAAAAAAGGGACTGGAGTTGTGGAGGTCGATAAGTGTCGTCCATAATGATTTTCTTTGTTTTCTGGATGAATTTCTCAAGAGGTGA